TTGCCAAGCAGGTACTGTACCACTGAGCTATATCCCTGACCCCCCTAATCCCTTTCTAACTGCATATTACTTTCTAGCTAATTTAGCTGTCTATAATAAAAGGATTACCATAGTGACATCACCAGGGAAGAACAGAAGGATGCTGAGCAGGCAGAGCAACAGATGGACATTGTATTTGCTCCCAGGTTTCTGAAGGGATGAAATGTACAGAAACCATAACAATGGGTCAGGGGTGGTGGCACATGCCTGTAATCCCAGCACTCTGGAGGCTCAGGCAGAAGGATCATTGGGAGTTTGAGATCAGCCTGGGCTACAAAGTGAGCTCAAGGCCAGCCTGAACTGCATACTGAGACCCTGCCTCAAAAAGACAAAAAAAAAAAAAAAAAAAAAAAAAAAAAAAGAAATCATAACAATGATCTCAAAAAGAGAAGCTATAAAAGCAGCCTGAGTATTCCAGATTGGTCAGAGGAAAGGTCAAACTCAAGAGAGGCTGAATGGAAAAGGAGAGGGTGGGAGCTAAAACTCGGAATAAGTTTTTTGGTTTTTTTTTTTGAGGGGGGGTTTCCCGTACCGGGAGTCGAACTCACAACCTTGCACTTGCCAGGCAGGCATTGTGCCGCTGAGCTAAACCCCCAGCCCCTGGAATAAGTTTTAAGGTCAGGAAAAGGATAGAAATTGATAGCGAGGTAAAATGACATCCAAGATAGAGTATTTTAGAGACCAAGATATGTGAGAGTAGAGGTACATACCTATAATCCCAGCGAGCTGGGAGGGAGGCTGAGGCAGAGGATGGAAGTGTGATCTGAGCCTGGGCAATTTGCTTACTTCCCCAGACCCTGTTTTAAAGTGAAAACAAAACAAAAACCAAAAATCAAAAACAAAAAACCCCAAAAGGGCTGGGGAGGCAGCCTGGTGCAAAGGCCTAGGTTCAGGCCTCAGTAAGCCACCCTCACCTCTCACCTCCCACCTCCCACCCAAGAGCACATCTTACAAAGTATTTGTCCATGTGTGCTTTATTTAGTTTGCCCTAGGGATCCAGAAATCCATGAAAACTCATTTCTGTTGTGAAAGGCTCTGAAATTATAGTAGAAGGTAGAGACAGCCTCCTCCAGGAGCACAGAGTTGAGGAAAAGCTAGTGAATTTAGAAGGTGGCGGAGAATCCGTGGCACTGAAGCTGAGTCTTAACAAGTGCAAGAGGGCTGGGGATATGGCTCAGTGGCATAGTGCCTGCCTGGCAAGCACGAGGTTGTGAGTTCGATTCCTGGTACCAAAAAAAACAAAAACAAAAACAAAAAAAACCACACACAAAAAACAGAAGACCATATTAACAAGTGCAAGTTCACTAAAGCAGCAGTTGCAAGGGAAACCAGTCTGTGCAAAACTTGGGCAAATTTTTTTTTTTTGGTGCCAGGAATTGAACTCGGGGCCATGTGCTCTCCAGGAAGGCACTCGTGCCACTGAGCTATATCCCCAGCCAAAAACATGGACAAATGAAGTGGTTTTCTTTTTCTGTCTTTTTGAGACAGGGTCTCCTGATGCAGTTCAGGCTGGCCTTGAGCTCACTTTGTAGCCAAGGCTGGTCTCGAACTCACAACAATCCTCCTGCCTCGGCCTCCGGAGTGCTGGGATTACAGGTGTGCACCACCACACCCGGTTTATAAAGTGGTTTTCAAAGGTCTGTTTATTTGCGGTCCTGCTGGTGGACCCAGGGTTTTCACACTACACTATACTCCCAGACCTTTTAAAATTTTTTGACTTTTTTTTATTTTTTATTTTCTTTTGGGTACCGGGAATCAAACTCATGACCTCAGGCTTGCCAGGCAAGCGCTTATGCACTGAGCTATATCCCCCACCCCAACATAGAGTATTGTTAGGCCACTTAGTTACTAAGGCTGGGCTCAAGTTTTATGAGCTTTCCGCCCCAGACCCCCTGTGTGCTGGGATTACATTTTGAGCTACCAAGCTGAGGTCTATTTAAAATGAAGATTTTGGTCGGGTGTGGTGGCACACACCAGTAATGCCAGCACTCGGGAGGCTGAGGCAGAATGATCACCTCGGGTTTGAGGCCACCCTGAACTACACAGCGAGACCTTCTCTCAAAACGACAAAACCCCCCAAAAACAAAACCCCGCAGATTCCAGGGGTATATTCTGTGGGAGACTGCTAGTTCAACAGGGCACCTATCTAAACAAACTTGTTAGGAACACAGCGGCGATGGCGGTGGTGGCTGGAGAGATCACTGCCCACTTGTGTTCCTGGTTCACCAAAGGAGGTCACAGTAGCACAAAGTAAAGACAAAACAAAACAAACAAAAAGGCAAACAAACTCAAAACCCTCCATTTTGCATTGTGCTTTCAGGGTACCTGATACTCTCACGTGCCTCACTTTGTTGGAGCTTTGCAATAACTTTCCAGGGTAGAAACTGAGTGCCTCTCTCATTTATTTATTTTTATTTTTAAATTTTTGGCACCGGGAATCAAACTCAGGACCCCACGCTTGCCAGGCAGGCGCTGTGCTACTGAGCTACATCCCCGGGGCAATGGGTCTCTGGGGGCGGGCCTGAGGCCTTCACTGCACAGCTTGTTCATTGGCGCTGCCTTCCGGGTCCCATCTGGAAGCTCCGGAAGGCTACAGAAGGGCTCGATGCGCAGGGCCTCAAAGGTGTCATCTGCCCAGAACGCCAGCCCCGCTGTCTGGAGCCAGTTGCTGTCTGGCTGGTAAAGCCGCACTCGCCCAGACTTTTGTCATCATCTAAAAGCCTGTCGTCCTTGCATAGCCACTGCTGTTGGGCGGCTGCTTGAGAATGCCCTCGGGGATGCCTTTCAGCCCAAGCACGGTGCTTCCCTTCTCGGCCTCCGCGAAGATTGTGGTCTTGTGGCAGCGGGTCATGAGGAACACGTCCTTGGGCCCAGCCGCCCTTCCCCCCGCCCTTCGTCTCATTTTATGGGGAGGAAATAGACAACGAAGAGAGACGGCTCAAGATCACAATGCAAGAGGTGGCAAATCAGGTTATAAAAACTAGGCAACCCAACCCCCAGCTCAGCTTTCCGACGACTAAGGCCGGGAATCTAGTGGGTGGGTCCCAGCCCTCCCTAGAGGCTGGTTCCAAAATGGTGGAAGCAGTGGCGTCAGCAACACCGCCCCTTCCGTCCACCTTCCTCTCTCTTCACCAGGCCACCCAGGAGGGGGAGGGGAAGGAACGGCGTAACACACGTGACTTCCGACGACGCGGCGCGTGACGCAAAGCGGCGGGCTCAACGTTCGCTTTGTCTTATGGGAAATGTAGTTCAAGAGACCACTCAATGGGCGAAGAACCGCAGGTCTAGGACTACATTTCCCAGGAGGCAGCGGGCATGACGCCGCTGCTGAAGAGCGGGGATGCGGAGCGCGCTGTCGGGCGGGGGCGAGGTTCGGGCCGGTTGTGCCGTTGCGAGGTTGCAGCTGAGGTCGCTGCGGTGGGCCTAGGTGAGTGAATGCTTTTCACGGGAGTTAGGATACCTTCACTGACTCTGTCTTTTTCTTCCCCTATCTCTTCTCCGCGGTGGCTGGGTCCGAGCCCGGGGAAGGCCTGGCGCGGAGCCGCTTCCCCGCGCTCCCACCCGGGCCTCTACTGAGCGGGCCCCGCTCCCTCCGGCTCCTCCCCCTCCCCGCCCTTCCCTTCGCTCCGGCCTGGCTCCCGAGGCCTGGGGCCGTCGACTCCCCAGTAGTTCTTACACTTTCTCACCTTTGCAGTCTGCAATCTGCGCGGGAAGTTCTTCACACACGCACCGCCTTGGTCGTCCTAACACCATTACTCGGATTCTGCTTTTCCGGAACACTTGCCTCCCCTCCCCCGCCCCCAGTCTCCATTACCTTGTTTCTGTCTTCTAGGGCCGGTGTGGCTGGCACTCAGGAAATGTTAATACTTCATCCGATCCTTTTCTTGCCTTGTGGCCAAAAGAGGCGTAATATAAATTTGTCTCCGACCGGGAAAATAACCCCACTTTTTTCTTGGGCTGGAACTGAGGCCGACTTCATTCCGGTCGTAATTGGAGTATGTCCTGCTTATACGATGCAGTTGTGTCTCAACATCTAAGCGACTTTTATCAGCTTTTTTTTTTTTTTTTTTTTTTGCCTTTCTGAGTCTTAGGGGTGGAGCGTGGCAGGAGAGGCTGGCGAGCAACGCTGCTGCCCAGAAGTTGGAAGCCATCAGTGGGAGTACAGTGTGCGGGGAGATTGTTAATTGGATTGAAGGGAAAGCCTCTGAGAGTATGGTAGGGCCTGGTGGGAGGGAGCCAGGGAAGCTTTCGGTGGTAGCGTGACAGAAGTGCTCTGGAGGCAGTCTGCCTGGCTTTGCCAGCTTTCGATTTGAGATCGAGTTTTCACTTCCAGATGCCTCAGTTGTTGTTTTTTTTTTTTTCCTTTTAAAGTAGCAGTGAATAACTGACCTTTTTAGAGGGTTATTGTGAAGGCTAAGTGAAGTAAAGAACTTACCCTGTGATAGGATTGCTAGATTATGGGTTCAGAGTGGAAAGGCATACTGTATATCATACTCATTTTTCTTCCCTTATAGAATATATTCTCTATGGTTTTTTCGTGGAAATACTACTTGTAGTTTGTCCTGTTATGTAGACAACTTGATGTGTAAATTCTTGTTAGAAGCCAGTTAAACATTCAGAAATGGTTGCTGTCTTGAACATTTTGCGGAGCAACCTGAGTTCAATTCATTCTTTTTTTTCGTGGGGGGGGGTCTTTTTGAGACAGGGTCTCCTGATGCAGTTCAGGCTGGCCTTGAGCTCACTTTGTAGCCCAGGCTGGTCTCACCTCAAAATGATCCTCCTGCCTCAGCCTCCTGAGTGCTGGGATTACAGGCGTGCGCCACCATACCCAGCTCAGTTAATTCTTTATTAGAAGATTTGTGAACTAATAATCATAGTTTAGCAATACCCAAAACAATTTTTATTGCAGTCATTTAGGCTTGATTTCTTTGTAAAAGACCTATTTAATATTCCTATATGAAATTTTTAGATTAAAACTTATATGTCTAGTTTAACTAATACTTATTTTTAGTGCTTGTAGCTTCAGTGAGTATCATTTTTTGGCGGTTTGGTTTTGTTTTTTTTTTCTGGTACTGGAAATTGAACTCACAACCTTGAGCTTGCCAGGCAGGCGCTGTGCCGCTGAGCTAAATCCCCAGCCCTTGGCGGTTTGTTTTTAGGAGACAGGGTTTTATGAGACAGATTGCAGGCTGTTCTTGAGCTCACTCAGTAGCCCAGGCCGGCCTTGAACTTGAGGCACTGGCATCCTTCCTTAGCCTCCCAATTTATGGGATTAACAGACACATGTGCACCACCGCCATCATCAGTTTTTAAAGATTGATTTTAGGTTGCAGACTGTATAAAGTACAGTTCACTGTCAGCGGCAACAGTGGTAGTAATAGGAATTAAGTTTATTTCTTTAGTACCAAGTACAGGCAGTTTTGAATTTGGTTTAGACAGAGAAGTTAGGGATTACAAAAGAATGATCTGTGTTACACTGAGAAATTGGAAGAGGGGCACATTTAGATTGTGTCCAGGATTAGCCTAAAGATGAGGAAGGAAGAGGCTGACAATGCAAACACACACATACTTATTTTTTTTTTCTTTTTTGGTACCAGGAATCGAACTCAGGACCTTGGGCTTGCCAGGCAGGCGCTTGTGCCACTGAGCTGTATTCCCGGCCCACATACTTATTTTAGAATGGATAGATAGTTCCAAATACTAAGGATCTTAGGGTGCAAGCTTGTTTGTCTTGGTTATAGTGACATCCTTTACTGAAGAAAGTATAATTAATGCTGTTTGCTCAAACACTAGATTTTAGTGGATTGCATCACAGACGTTCATTCTATAAACATCTTAAGATTAATTCATAGTTTGACTTTGATTTTGTGAATGATTGAAGAAATAGTGCCTGAGAGCTTACTATTCACCATCCCTGGTCCTAGGCCCTCGGAGTACAGTGGGCTGTGAGACAGATTTCTTGTCTTTTGGGAACTTAAAGGACAGTGAGGGAAGGCCTAAAGGTAAGTAAGTAAATTAAGTGGAATGGAGGTATCAAGCAGGGGACTCGGATAGACTCTGAAAAAGAATGTACCTAAGGTGATCTGAGCCGAAGGAAGAACCAAGGAGAGAGCACCCACTTGGAGGAACCAAGTGCCCAAAATGGATAATGGGAAGAATTTAGTTTGGTTTTGGAATTGAATGACTGCCAAGTATGGCTGAGGTACTATGAGGAGAATGTTTAAGGATGCATTAGATATAGGATGTTAAGGAAGCTGTTGAAGCTCCTTGATGGATGGGAGGGGCTGCTGACTGGTTGGTGTATCTGTCCACAAAGATAAATGCTTACAATAAAAGTTCAGTTTAGTAGTTACAAGCAGATGGAGGAAGAAATAGGAATTGTCACGCAGGTTGGAGAGATTTGTATTTAAGTATTACTTGTGGAGAGTGGAAAGTGGATTCTGAGGGCATGTTAAGAGACTGTTGTACAGGTTTGAAGTGATAGATGCCTGACATTGAGAGATGGAACTGAGCAGCAGAGGATTTGGAGATCAAATAACTTTAATATTCTGCAGAGCAGGACACTGAATCTGTGACTGGTGGACTCCATGGCACACATGAACTCTTAAAATTTTTGTGACAGGGAGGTGGATTTTCTCACAAAAAAGTCTTCCCCTCCCATTATACTAATTTGAGTCTCAAAAAGTTAAAACTACTGCCCTAGATCTTATAATGTTGGTTCATAACCCATAAATTTAAAAATTGCCTGAGGCCTATCATGTCTGGAAGTAAGAGACATCCCTTGTATAAGATTGACTTTTTTTTTCTTTAGTTTTATTTTGAGACAGGGTCTTCCTATGTTGTTCAGGCTGGCCTTTAACTCACCATGTAGCCCAGGCTGGCCTCAAAATCACAGTGATCTTCCTGCCTCAGCCCCAAATGCTGAGATTACAGGCATGTGTCACCATGCCCAGCAAGATTGACTTTTTTTTAATTAAAAAACTTCACAGTTCAAAACCAAGACACTGGATAAGAAATCCACCCAGAAAGTCTTTTCCAAACTAAGCATGTTTTCCTTTAGACTCCCAACAGAGTATATACACATCAGTTTCAGTTTGACTTTCTTAATCTTACAATGTAACCAACTTTCTTTCATTTTTTGAATAGAAATAATTAGTTTAATACTGTGCCCAAGAGATGGTCTCCTAGTTTCTTCTGACCATATTAAGCAAGATAGTAATTATCCTAACAGTGAAGAAGCTTAAATCTAATAAACCCAATTTCACAAAAATCCATTTCTTCCATTGAATTTTGTTTATAGTATCTATTTTTTATGGTATCTTTTTTTTTTTTTTTGGTTTTTCTCCGGTACCGGGAACCGAACTCACGACCTTGTGCTTGCCAGGCAGGCGCTTTTGCCGCTGAGCTAAATCCCCAGCCCCTATCGTATCTTTTATTGGCAGAAATAGATCACTTCACTGTGGAAAGAATAAGATGATTTTATTTATTTATTTATTTTTGTCTTTTTAAGACAGGGTCTCAGTATGCAGCTCAGGCTGGCCTTGAGCTCACTTTGTAGCCCAGGCTGGTCTCGAACTCACAACGATCCTCCTGCCTCAGCCTCCTGAGTGCTGGGATTACAGGCGTGTGCCACCACACCCGGCAATAAGATGATTTTAAAAACTGTTCCGTTAGGAGTTTCAGATATATATTCCTATCCTTTTTTATTTTTTGGAGTTGGTCTCACTAGTCCAGACTGGCCTTAAACTGGTGTTGTAGTCCAGGCTGGCCTCAACTCACCGATCTTCCTTAGCCTTCAGGAGCTGAGATTACAGTGTGCATGTGCCACTGTGCACAGCTTATCTTGTCATTTTAGTATGCTTTCATATAACAGTATTTTACTAGAAGCATAGGATATGCTTTTTTGGGGGGGGTGTACTTTCTGATTGTTATAGTTCTGCCACTGGAAAAACCTGGTATTTTTCTTTTTATGGTAGGGGTTGAAAACTGAAGTCTCATGGACTAAGTGCAGTCTGAAAATGTGGGTTTTTGGGGGGCTCGTACAGCGTAAATTTGAATTAATTATCAACATTTAAGAACTTAGTTTTTTTTTGTTTTTTGGTTTTTTTTGGTACCAAGAATCGAACTCAGGATCTTGCGCTTGCCACACAGGTGCTTGTGCCGCTGAGCTATATCCCAGGCCCAAGAACTTAGTTTTAAACAGGGCATGGTGGTACATGCCTGTAAGTCCAGCACTCATGGGTCTGAGACTAAAGGATAGTTTTAAGTTTAAGGCTGTTGAGTTCAAAGCCAGCCTGAACTGCATAGTGAGACCCTATCTAAAACACAACCAGAAAAATAAAAAGTTTTCATGTATAAATTTAGATTCAGAGTGCTCTTGAAAAATCAGATCTGACAGCAGTGGATCTGCATTTCTACTTTGCAGCAATGTTTTGTGGCTTGGGATGTCCTTTCTGGTTTGCCACAGATCCCTCCATAGCCTGACATTATCCCTTACAGGGAGCAGTGTCCATTAGTATTTGTAATTGTTTATTTTTTGGTTTTGGTGACAAGATCCTGCTATGTAGTTAAGGCTGGCTTTGATTTCACTGTGTAACCTAGGGTGGCCTCCAACTCACTGTGTTGTGTGGATCCTCATGTCTCAGCCTCCTGAGTACTTGAATTACGGGCATGTGCTACCCTCCCTGGCTTAGGCTTTTATATTAGGCCACCTCTCTTGGTTTTTTGAGACAGGGTCTTACTGTGTAGTTCAGGCTGGCGTCTGAATTCCCAGCAGTTCTGCCTCAGCCTCCTGAGTGTTGGGATTACTGGTGTGTGCCACCCCACCTGGCCAGTACTTTATAAATTTTTGTTGGATAAGTGGACAGTAGTATGTAGAAAGGGAGAGGGTCTGTTGTAGATAGTGCAGAGGCTCCTTAATAGCAGCACATTGTTGTCTGACTGAGGTAAGTTCAGGAAATAGTGGCTGAAAATTGTGTCTGTGACTAACCAGATACTATAGGGAGGCCAAGTTAGGGGGTGGATGTAAAAAAGGTAGCAGGGATGACTGAGGGCTTTGAATGTCTCTTTATATTCACAGATTAACTGAGGGCTGGAGGCTTATATTTGCTTCTCTATGCAAGGTAGTGGAAAATTAAAAACTTGTTGGAGTGACAGAATTCTTGCCAATATCAGAGACAAGATTAATAGAAAGGAAACATGATTGGCTTAATAGTTTTTACATCTGGTCAGAATTTGAAGGATGGATGTAGTGGAATAGTTGTTTTCTTTAATTCAGCATGTTGTAGAGTAAGCGGTTTGCCATCATGGGATCCCCCACTGGGCCTGCGGACTGTTGTAAGCGCCCTGTGCCTCTGTTTGTTTGTTTGTTTGTCACCCCCCCCATCGAACTCATGACCTTGTGCTTGCCAGTCAGGCGCTGTGCCCCTGAGCTAAATCCCCAGCCCCACCCTGTGCCTCTGGAGTTAGGAAATGGGGGAAAGAAATGGGTTCAATTCCCAATATTGCAAAAAAAAGTTTCCAAAAGTGCTATGCTTTTATGCAACTGAGTCAGTATATACCACTGTTATCAAAAATTTGGTAAAGGATCTAACTGAATACTATACCCATCTGGATAAAACAATCTTAACCTTGCTAGTGATTCTAAGAGTAGATTTTGTGGCTGTTTGTAATGTCTGCTTACTATTGGCATAGTAAGCTCTGTGATGGAGAACCTTTTAGAGCTTTCAATGATACAAACAGTCCACTGTGGCATGTGTGCCACTGGCATAGGTCATGAGACTGTTCAGTTTACTCAGCAAACATATCAGTGTTAGGTAGTTTATATCCCAGTGAGGGAATTTACCTATTAACAGATAGTGAGTTGAGTGTGAGGAGAGGCTGAGCCAGGGTAACACAGAGGGCAGTATGTACCTAACCCAGCTTGGGAGAGTGAGCGACAGTTGGCTGGGAAAGGAGGCCATCATTGGAGTGTGTAAATGTTTGATGGTGGTGGAGCAGTCTAGTCTGAGGACTCTAAATGTACAAAGACTTTAGAACCATGACTTAAGAAAGTAAGTGTTCCTTTCCTTCCTGGTTGATTAGGCAAGGATTCAGCTTTGTGTAGACCATAGGGTTCAAAGAGTTAAGATAGGGGATAAGGACAGTGGCACGAGCACCTGCTGGGCAAGTTCAAGGTCCCAAGTTTGGTTCCCAATACCAACAAAGAAAAACCTCAAAGAGCTAGATGGAGGGAATATTAAGTACAGAAAGATCAATGTTGGGACTACTTCAGATTATTTGGATTTTTTTTTTTTTTTCCTTTTTGGTCTTTTTTGAGACAGGGTGTCTTGCTGTGCAGTTCAGGCTGGGCTTGAGCTCACTTTGTAGTCCAGGCTAGTCTTGAACTTGGAGCAATCCTCCTGCCTCAGCCTCCCGAGTGCTAGGATTACAGGCGTGCGCCACCACACCCGGCAGATTATTTGGATCTTGTCTGCCTTCCTACTTTATAGTAATATGATTTTACAATAATACTTGAGTAATCTAGGGATGCAGACATCACTTACGAGCTTGCCTTTTTTTTTTTTTTGGTACCAGGAATCAAATTCAGGACCTTGTGCTTGCCAGGCAGGCACTGTGCAGCTGAGCTATAGCCCCAGCAAGCTTGCTGTTCTTGGAATTTGTTTTTCATCTTTGTTTTGGATAAATCTTATCTAATGTTAATATATGACTGTGCTCATAGATTTGGGATTTTGTAGAACTGGAACAGAAGGGGAGTATGTATGTACAGGGGTGCATGTGAGAAGGTGGTATTTTAATTTGATATGTGTTTGTTAAGCTTAGCATACCTGTTATGTTTTTTCTTATTTCAAACATCTGATCATTACCAAGTTCACCTGGGTGAATTATGAAGCTTGTGAACTAGTCTTGCATAATGCAAACCCTGACACCTGAAATGTTGCCAGTGGAAGTATCAGGTTACAAGAAAGACGGTTTTGGCTTTCCATAGTGTGGGAGCTGGGTTGGAAAGATGAAAATGTGTCAGACAGATAGACCAGCAGACCAGTATACTTTGGGGGAGAGAAGCTTGTAGTTTAGGGGTAGTTTTTTTCTGCTTACAGATTTTTAAAACATCATTAAAGACATCTGTAAGATGTTGCATAGCCATTTTATCACTTACTTCCTCTCATTCCAGAATTATATCCTGACTTTGTAAATTGGAGAAGCCAGTGGCACTGCCAGTGTTCTTTGACAGCAGTGTCTGGATCCAGTGCAAATTGAATCATTGTTCTGACAAGGTAAATCAACGAGTGGTCAGAAGAGTTACTGATAACTTCATTGTTTTGTAAAATCATCTGGTTGTGTCACTGCATTCAACTCCCAGGGTGATGGATTTTTTGTTTGTTTGTTTTTGTGGTGCTGGAGATCTAACCCAGGGCATTGTGTATGCAAGGCAAGTATCAGTGGGCCATGTCCCCAGCCCCAGCATGATGGATTTTTGTAGGGTTTCCTATCTCGTACGCTTATATTTATCATAATTGGTGATATTTTGGTTATAACAATATTCAGGATTGACAGTTATCATTATAGCATATTTTACAGCTCAGTCTTGGGGCACAGCTGTTACTTTTCCCTTTTTTGTACAGCTGTTTGTTTTCTCTGTTGTTTTGTTTTGGGATTAAACCCAGGCCCTTTTCACTGAACTATATCTCCACTCCACTGTACCCCTTTTTGAGACCATGTCTCCCTGAGTGTAATGCTAGGTTGGCTTTTTTTTTTTTTTGGTCTTTTTGAGACAGGGTCTTTCTATGTAGTTCAGACTGGCCTTGAACTCACTTAGCCCAGGCTGGCCTTGAACTCGCAGTGATCCTCCTGCCTCAGCCTCCCCTCCCTAGCGTAGGGGATTATAGGTGTGTGCCACCACGCAGGGCTCCTAGATTTCCTGTATTTGGATGCTAAATCTTTTGGATGGATCCAGTACATTTTTATTTTGTCCTAGTATTTATCTCTCTCCATTTTTTTTCCTCTCTCCATTCCCTGCCACCCCTCCTGGGAATCGAACTCATGACCTTGCCCTTGCCAGGCAGGTGCTGTGCCACTAAGCTAAATCCCCAGCCCCCTCCTCTCTCCATTTTTGTCTTCTTCCTGGGAGATTTCCTTGGCTGTGTTTTCCAACTTTCTTGTAATTTTTTGAATTGTGCTCTTATGTTATTTTCTATACTGTTGAATTTGTTGAATGTAGCAGTTACGTAAAATACTATAGTATTGAAGGTTGTGGATAGATGTGGTGGCGCACACCTAAAATCCCAGTACTGAGGAGGCTGAGTTCGAGGCCAGCCTGAATTGCATAGTAAAACCCTGTCTCAAGAAGACAAAAAATAAATACATAAAATAAAATGAGGTAATAATAAATAGCATGGTCCACATAGCTGTGTTGTGAATTAAGTGAATTTGTACAGTATATATGTGGGGTTTTTTTGTTTTTTGTTGTTGTTTTCCGGTACCGGCAATTGACTCAAGACGACCTTGCGCTTGCCAGGCAGGCACTGTGCTGCTGAGCTAAATCCTCAGCCCCTACTGTATATGTTTTAGAGCGGCACCCAGCTATTCTGTTTTTTGTTCTTTTGTTTCCTCCGGACAGGGTCTTGCTATGTAGTTCAGGCTGCCCTGGAACTCACTATATAGCTCAGGGTGGCCTCAAACTAGTGGCTGTCCTGCCTCAGCCTCCCAAGTGCTGAGGTTAGCAGAGTGCTGGGATTAGGCATGTACCACTACGCCTGGCTGTTTTTTTCTTTTGTTTTTTTTTGTACTGGAAATCGAAGTTAGGACTTCGTGCTTGCCAGGCAGGCACTTGTGCCACTGAGCTTTTTTTTTTTTTTTTTTTTTCCTTTTGAGACAGGGTCACACTCCAGGCTGGCCTTGAACTATGTAGTCCAGGCTGGCTTTGAACTCATGGCAATCCTCCTGCCTCAGCCTCCTGAGTCCTGGGATTACAGATTTGCAGTACCATGACAAGCTGTACCGATTGTAAGAACTGCCTTTAAGCCTTGAGACGTAGCTCAGTGATAGAGAGGTTAACTAACATGCATGAGGCTTTGGGTTTAATCCTTATTACTACAAGAAAGAAAAAGAAGAAAGTTAACTCTATAACACTGTTCTACAGGGTATATTTTCTAGATTTTGGGGTTTTTGTTGTTTTGGCTTTGGGGTTGTTACTTTTTTTTGTTTGTTTGTTTTTCCGGTACCAGGAATCAAACTTACGACCTTGAGCTTGCCAGGCAGGTGCTGTGCCGATGAGCTAAATCCCTAGCCCCTTGTTATGTTTTTTTGAAACAGGTTCTTGGTGTGTTGTGTAGGCAGATGTTGAACTCACGCTATAGCCCAAGCAGGCCTCAAACTCTTGGCCATCCTTATTTGGCTTCAGAGTAGTGTAAGTAGGGCCAGCGCTCTACATCCCCAACTACATTCTACATCTCTAGGCCTGTTTTGTTTTTGAGATGGGGTCTTGCCACATAGTCCAGGCTGACCTGAAACACGTAATCCTCATGCCTGAGCCTTCTAAGAACTGGGATTTTAGGTGGCTGTCTCCACTTCTAGCTAGACTTTGTATTTCTCCTCCATTTGTCTGTTTTATCTTGTACTGATATTTATTTATTTATTTATTTATTTATTTATTTATTTATTTATTTATTTTGGTTTTTCTCCGGTACCGGGAACCGAACTCACGACCTTGCGCTTGCCAGGCAGGCGCTTTGCCGCTGAGCTAAATCCCCAGCCCCTGATATTTAATATTTAATTACTGTAGCTTTGTATTGTTCCTATTTAGTGATACAAGCCTTTCTTTCCTCTCCAGCCTCACCCAATAATCAAACTGATAACTTTTTTTTTTTTTTTTGGTACCAGGAATTGAACTCACGACCTCACGCTTGCCAGGCAGGTGCTGTGCCACTGAGCTAAATCCCCAGCCCCAAAACTAATAATTTCTATACTTTTTTTAATACTTACTATTTTTGTCCGCACAGAAATGATTTTCTTCAGGAAGTTTAATGATTAGGAAACAAAAACTAACTAGAAAGATGCCAAATAGGAAGCCACTTACATAGTTTTTTGTCTGTTTTTTGAGATAGGGTATGGCCTTTTAGTTTAGGCTGGGCTTGAATTCACTATGTAGCCCAGGCTGGCTGTGAACTTGCGATCCTCCTGGCTCTGCCTCCTGAGTCCTGGGTTTACAGGTGTGTGCTACCATGTCTGTCCACTTGCATGGTTTCTAAAATAAAAATACTGGATTTTAGCCTCTTAATATTTTTATCTTTGTCTCTCAAGGACTTTTTGGATTTTTTTATTGGTTTAGTCAGTAGACATTTGAGTGCTTGTCATTGTGCCTGTTCTTAGGTCTTCTAGTTGGGGGACACAGTACTAGCAAAGAAATGGAGCTGGGCGTTGTGGAGTGTGCCATAATCTCAGCACTCGGGGGAGGCGGAAGCAGGAAGATTGCCATGAGTTTGAGGACTACATGATGAGACCCTGTCTCAAAACCAAGAAGAAGGGAAATAAGTGAAATTCTCAGGTCTAGCATGTGGGTGGGGAGCAGTGAGATTTCATTAGATGAGGTACTAATGCACCACCTTTTTTTTCCCTGAGACCTAGAGATTGAGAAGGGAACCATTCATTCTTACATTGAGACTGAAGAGAAGTATTCCTGTGTAGGGAATGGCAAGTGTGAAGGTGCTAAGACTTAATTGCCTCGCTTGTTCAGAGGACAGAAGAAAAGGCTGTTGTGGCCTGGGGAAACAAGTTGGTTGTGATGGCACATCTGTGATGTGGCACTTGGGAGACTGAGGTAGGATTGCTGTGAGTTTGAGGCTAGCCTGCGCTACATTAATGCATTCGGTGCCAGCCTGAACTGCATGGTGTGTCTAAAAAAAACAGGGAGGCAGAAGCATGAAGTGGGCAGGTAATTTATAATCTTAAAACTGGCAAGGTATGGGTTTTGTATATGAATCTGATGGCTCACTTTTTTGTTGTTTGTTTTTTGAGTCTGGGTCTAGGTTTGTAGAATAGGCTGGCCTTGAACTCATGGTAATCCTTTTGCTTCAGCCTCCCAAGTGCTGGGATTATAGGTGTGTACGACCATGCTTAGCTACTTCTGCTTTAAAAAAAATATATATATATATATAATGATTTGGAAATAATGAGACCCATTTTTTTTTCCTTTGTGGTACTAGAGCTTGAACCATAGGGCTTTTGCTCTGAGCTACATCCCCAGCCCTTTTTTTTATTTCTGTTTGGGATGGGGTCTTACCTAAGTTGCCCAGGCTGAGTTTGAATTTGTAGACCTCCTGTGTCTGCCTCCCAGAGTGCAGAGATTGTAGGCTAGTGGCACAGTAGTCTGTAGGTAGTTCACGTGTTATTCCTGAAAGGAATCCCATAGTGGAGAGCTTCACATTTCCATGTGTAAACTAAGTTCTGGTTGAGTGATTGGTTATATCTGAGGTTGGGGTGGTCAGGTTGTCTGTAAGTTAAATAGCTTTGAGTAGTGCTTTTTAGTTAAAAAATTGTAATTTACAAACAAGGTTTAATAATGCTCATAGGAAATAAGTTTGCCCTCTAATGGGAAACCTACACAGTGTCTTGGTGCAAAAGGTCCTACAGTTAGTGCTGGGAGTTAGTTGACATGCCCAGCGGGTAGCAGCACCCGCAGCAGCATCTGTCTGGGGATGTTGTGTGTCTGCTACCTGGAAACAATGGGTTCTGACCTGATTTGTAAGATAGGGTGGGGCACTGTGTACATCTGCCCTGTAGCCTCAGTACCACCTGTTCACTATTCTCACAGTGATAGTAGCCAGTGGCTTTCTCACTAGTGGGAAACTTGTGGTTAGGCGAGGACTGGACCACTCTGGCTCCAGCTTTTCTATGTTGCCTACTTACAAGGGCTGGGCCTTGGGCTCTTGTTTATCTTGGGTGGGGCATTGAGTTCCTCTTGATAAAACATTATATAAAACCGGTGTGTTGCACGTAGTTCATATCCATGTTAGTGGGCATGAAGGATGTCTTACTGTCTCCTCCTGCTGCCGCTTTGCCACCAGGTGGGCCTTGGCATCATCCGTGGAGATGATGTTTTTGTTCTTAGTGTTGATGGCCAGGTCCACCTTGGGGATGCCAGTGAGCATCTGGTTGGATAGCACCCCCTCCATCTACTTGGCTAATATGCAGATGTTCTCAGGGAGCTCATACAGTCCTCCTCTCTTGGGCTTTAGCTTCTGCTCTGTGTATTCCACGATCCTCTTGTCTCCAGCTG